CAGAGAATCTTGGTGAATGGAAAAGTCTAGGCCCGAAGGCCTGGCACAAGCTTGGGTATCCTGGAGCGTTTGCTCACATCTTCATCTTAGCATCTAACCGAACCACCGACTCTGGGAGGGTCCCTAGTGTGGGCAAAATGGCTTGTCCAATGAGAAAGGCTTGAAATCCCAAGCGGGCGGTTGCAACTGCTGGAGGGTTTTACGACCCTTTGTCTCTAAGCATGGTATTTCGCATATGTAATTCGCTTGGGTGTCGACGAAAGATTACTAAAAGTAAAAGGAAAAATAAAAAATAAAAGGAAAAATAAAAATAAATTAATAATAATAGTAACAACAAATATCATACACAGCTAAAAAACATTGTCAAAAGCTAGAGAAAACAAATTAGTTTACTAATTTATTTCTGACCAAACTGAGCAACTAGTTCATGCTGTTATGGTTGAAAATGCATGAATTTAAATGTGGTTGTCACTCACATGGCTTTGCAGTCTGTATGTGGTCTTATATTGTTTTCCTCCTGTCAACAGGGTTGTGGCTTTGGCTACAGGTACACACGTCTGCCTCATCTGCTGAAGACCAAACCAGAGGACGCAAACCTGCCCAGCCTGCAAAGTGAGTGACTCTTCTGTCCTCCTCCATCTTTATTTTCAGCCCATCTTCAAGCTTTAGTTTGTTTTCTGAAAACTTTTTCTTTACTTTTCAGTATTTTCTGTTCTCCTATTGACTTTATATTTGTTATATAATTTGGTAATTTTTAATTTTATTAAAATGTTTTATAAAAATTAAATAATTGTAATAGAATTAGGGCTGTCGATAGATTAAAATGCAATTAAATTAATGATATTATGGTAGATAGCATATATTAGTAATGAAGATCATTCCAAGTATCACACTGAACATGATGAAAGCATTGAATAGACAAAAAAAAAAGGCGTTAAGGCCCGTTCACACCAAGGACGATAACTATAAAGATAACGATAAAGATATAGTTCTAAAAATCGTTCTCAATAGTAAAGAATAGCAGAGTCCACACCACAACTATAACGATAAAGACACAGAGAAACGATATCGTTGGATTCACTTTCAAAGTGATTTTTCTCCAGCTGATGAACGATAAAAAATTGACAGCCAATCAGAATCCATCCTGCTTTAACGAGCTCAAGAATTTAAAGCGGCAGACGCGCGTGTGCGCTTAGAATAAACAGACGATATCGTTCGCTGGTGTGGACGCTAATATCGTTATCTTTATAGTTATCTTTATATTTATCTTTGCGACAGACGCATGTGCGCTTAGAATGAGCAGACGATATCGTTCGCTGGTGTGGACGCTAATATCGTTAACTTTATAGTTATCTTTATAGTTATATTTATAGTTATCTTTGCGGCAGACGCATGTGCGCTTAGAATGAACAGACGATATTGTTCACTGGTGTGGACGCTAATATAGTTATCTTTATAGTTATCTTTATAGTTATCTTTGCGACAGACGCATGTGCGCTGAGAATGAACAGACGATATTGTTCGCTGGTGTGGACGCTAATATCGTTATCTTTATAGTTATCTTTATAGTTATCTTTATAGTTATCTTTGCGACAGACGCATGTGCGCTTAGAATGAACAGACGATATCATTCGTTGGTGTGGACGCTAATATCGTTATCTTTATAGTTATCTTTATAGTTATCTTTATAGTTATCTTTGCGACAGACGCATGTGCGCTTAGAATGAACAGATGATATTGTTCGCTGGTGTGGACGCTAATATCGTTATCTTTATAGTTATCTTTATAGTTATCTTTATAGTTATCTTTATAGTTATCTTTATAGTTATCTTTATAGTTATCTTTATAGTTATCTTTATAGTTATCTTTATAGTTATCTTTATAGTTATCTTTATAGTTATCTTTATAGTTATCTTTATAGTTATCTTTATAGTTATCTTTATAGTTATCTTTATAGTTATCTTTATAGTTATCTTTATAGTTATCTTTGCGACAGACGCATGTGCGCTTAGAATGAACAGACGATATCGTTCGCTGGTGTGGACGCTAATATCGTTATCTTTACAGTTATCGTTCTTGGTGTGAACTGGGCTTTAGACCCTGACTCTCTAACGTAAAGCTTTTGTAATGAGGGTATGTAGATCTAAAATGGCTTGCATTCTTACTTGGTAAAACATTTACAGATATGTGTTGAAACATTTTGACCTTTGGCCAATACTTCTGGAGGGCACTGTGTGCATCAGTCATTGAAAAGCCCTGATTAGTTACTGGTTACTGTACCTTGTAATAGTTCTCTTCTTCTGTCAGGGCTTTAGAGAGTCCAAAGTCGCTGATTTTTGCATAGTGCTGAGTGACTAAAAGCACGTTCCTCGCTGCAAGATCTCTGTGAACAAAGTTGTGCTCTTCCAGATATTTCATTCCCATAGAGACCTGATGAACCAGCTCTGTGATGTTCTTCACAGAGATGTGTCTGAAAACACACAAAGTGAAAAGCGAGTAACAATTAACAATACTACTATTGTTTATGACTTAAAGTTCAATCATGAAACTGCACAAGCTCAGTCTCCTCACACGGACCAAATCCAAAAACCAAATACATTAACTTCTCAAATCCATTAGGTGGATTGTATGCAAAGTGTATTACACTCTTAAAAATAAAGGTGCTTAAAAGGTTCTTCACAGCGATGCCATAGAAGAACCATTTTTGGTT